ATAAAATAAATCTCCAAATCATAAACAAAAAAAAAAACAAACACAAAATCAAAAAAAAAATTCCGCATATAAACAATAAAACCAGAAGAAAGCATAGTAAAAAGATCAACAAAAAATACCAAATCCAAAACAAAATCTAAAGATAACAATTCAAAAAAACAAATAATTAAAAATAACCCAACAGTCACGAGAGTACCAATGAACCAATGCACTAAAGGAGTAGGAACACTCATAGCCCTAGGCAACCAACTACTAGAAGGAAACTGAGCTCTTTTAGTAAAAGTTCCAAATACAAAAAAACACTGCCAAACTTATCATTACCCTCTAATCGAACAAATCACCATTAAATCACAACAATCACAACAACTAAAAAATATCAGACCAAAAAATATAAACATCGAAATTAAACTCAAACCAACTTCCCATACCACCACTCCATGTAAAGACAAAAAATCACCAAATAAAAAACAAAAATCGAAAAATAATTAATAATAAACAAAAATAATAAATAGTAAAAATATAAATAAATAAATAAATAAAAATAACAATAAATAACAAAATAATTTCAAATAAAAAAATTAAAATCAAAAAAATATTTCCTTCAATAGCTATCAATCAATTTAATTCTCTTATTCTTAAAATAAAAAACATTAAACAAGCAAAAATACCAGCTCATCACAACGAAAACGAGAAAATAACCACGAACAAAAATTACATGAAAAAAAATAAGAAACAACCAACATACTAAAATCAAAAAAAGCAACAGGAAACAAACTACTCCATCAAAAATACAAAAGGAACATTGAAATACTCAATATTAATCCTCTAATCAACTCCAAAGGAAGAAAAATACTACAAAAAACCCAACAAAACGGTAATCATCCTCAATTCTAAGCCTAATCAACTCACTCTCACAATCAGAAAAAGCGAAAGGAACGATTCAACTCAGCCAAAATCAAAAACAAATACACCAAAGCACAAAATATACAAACAACTATAAGAATTTAATAAAAAATCAAAACTATAACGACCCACTTTAAACATCAATGAAATCAAGAAAATATATGATCAAAATATATTATATTGTACAAAAAATATTATTATAATAAATATATTTTTTTCTTGCATTTTTTCTTTTAAATTTAACATAATTTTAAGAAATTTCGAAGTAAATAGCAAATGAAGAATTAACACCATGTTAAACGCAGTGGCATTCCCCAGTGCATTAAAAGTGAAAGAACTATCTTATTTTACGAATAAATACTACGTTAAAGTTAATCAATATGGTGCAGTAAAGCATTTAATATTAAAAGAACAATCGAAGCATTATTAAATAAATGTCGCTCAAATGTACGACAAAATAGCGACGGCGCGAATACAAAACGACATTTTAGCGAGAAAAAAAATAGGGAACTTTTATAAAATTTAATGCTTTTCTTTCAATTCTTTTGGAGTAAAATATCAAAAATAATCGGAAAATAGATTGTAAAAGTGATGAAAAGGAAAATTAGTACTTGTTTTTGTATTCTTTACTGTTATTACTATTTATTAATCAAAAACTATTATTTATTATTTTATATTTATTTATTTCAACAGGAAGATGTAAAATAAACTAACTGTATTTCCACAAAATTCACTAAAAGAATTCAATAAAACAATTTATAAAAAGAAATAATGTAATAATATAACTATAATAACATTATAAATAAAAGTTATTAAAAATAACATAAATAAACTGAGAATAAAGTCGATAGAAT